GCTGAACCAAACGCCGTGATCAGGCGCTGTAATTCCGCTTCAAAGTGCGAAAATATGGCCCAGCCATTTGCAGTCTTCTGGACAGGAAACGCTTTATATCTAATAAATCCATCGGACTGCAGTGGTCTAGCTGATCCCATAGTTACCCACGGGGGCTTTCATTCCAGTGTTAAAGGATTCGATGAGTTTAACGGATTGGTCCTGATAGTCTGGCGTTTGGTTATTGGTTTGTAAACGTCGCAATTATGCGCGATTGCATTTCCGCGTACGTAGGTAAATCAGTCAGGTAGGTCATCATGGTATCTTGAGGCGGGTGAGCTACTTAGCCCAAATCCACAGCTGCCGGTCGATTAATTAGTGTTGGAAAGTGGTGTTCAAAGCCTCTAGAATTTAGGCAAGTTTTTCGACCTTTTTATTGCTTTTTATTGACTGTGGAGAATGAACCTTAGGTTCGCCGGTTTCTTTTAGTCCGGTAAAAACCTCGTCATAACGGTAATCCGCAACTGGTCTGATTACCATTGTTTTTCGAGTGTTCCGGAAGCTTCGTCCTGACGCTTCTCAGTTGTCTTCGGGCAGTCGTATTTGTCAGTTGGTTGACTGTTTTGATGAATCTTAAGTCTCGCATGCTTTCTTGATTTAGTATATTCACAGTAGCTGCATAGACACACGGTCCTTAGTGACTTGGTCATCCACCGGTCTTTTTGTCAGAGCTTCGCGATCTCTCTCCCTACATTCTACTTTTGTGACTTTCTTCCTGACCCCGGTACGAAGTGTAATTGAGAGTTATCCGTATGGCTTTTAGCCCCACGCATCACTTTTGTGGTCAGTACATTACCGAGGTATCTTCCGTGCGATGATGTGGCCGATTAAATGTTCCTGGCCACTCTATGGCAAGCGCTGCCTGTCCCACAACAAACCACGTGTTCACCTTTGAAATGTTTCACCATTGATTAATACGATTTCATTGGGTCCCACAATTTTCCAGTTCTCCAGTCCGAGTGTTGAAATCGCGCAACGCGAAGTCGCTTGAACATTTGATCGAGTATGGCAACTGGTCGTAGAGTCACTTTTTTCCATTGGATGCGATATTTTCGCGTCACAGGACAACCTTTACAGCTGCAATCGGATGTCCATCATCCTCGGATCGATGCAGTTTGGTTCAGTTATCATTATTTCATTCACGCGTCGCTCTACTGCAGTAGAATTCATGGCAAGAATCATTCTTCCGTAGTTTCCCTTGGCGATCACGTTCCACGTTCCAGGTCTCAGGAAGCACGGCCTTTTTTCCACAGTTTTCATTCCTTTCGGGCATTTTTTGCTACCGTGGCTTCTTCCGGAATTACTGAACATAATCTGTTGTTTCTGATATTCTCCTACTGAATGTGCTCCACAAGGTCTGCCTCATGTTTGAGTCGGTACAATATTCGAGTTATCGCAGTATATCTTCTTGCATGGGCTATTATTGAAACATCTACCGCTTGCTTGGTACTTCAAAATGCGGCTGGACAGTTCCAGTTTGAGTACTCACATCGGGGCTCGTGAAAGTGAGGCGCTATTCCATTAAAAAACTCACGGGAAATGCGTGTTATGGCTGCGATACATCGGCATTTTTGATGCCTGCTGTGGGTGTGAGTTGCAGAACACGGATAATATCGTCACATGCGCGGCAGTTAACTGAACAAGCCTTTATCTTCACAAAGGAAACTACTCACAAGGCTGCTGAACGAATCTTGAGGAACATCAGGTATGCACGATCTCTGATTTTCCGTCAACCATATGTTTTACTGAATGTGCTGCACAAAAGCCGCCTCATGTTTCAGTTGGTACGGTACTGAGATGCCGCAATATTTTTTCACAAAGGATTTGTCGAAATCTGTCCAATTTGGGTTAAAGTCGAACATAAGGTTGACGGAAATTCGCGGATTACGTCTACTTGATTAGCCCCAAGACGGGCGAAACCGATCATGCGCTGTTGAAGAGTCTTCAGCAACCCTGCAAGTAGTTTTCCGTATCCCCTGCTTGCTTATTTTCACGCAGTTTATGATATAATGTGTGAGGTGAAAAACAGTATCTCAGCGACAGGTGAGGTTAACTAAATTGGAATTTGAGCAATCAGTTGTGAAGAGCATGATTCATTTCGCACCACAGTCCGCTGCAAAACGTGTAAAACAGGATCAAGTGGGTAAAAATTCTAATTATAATCCATACTAGGTTTCCTAAATTAACATCATATGACGTGAGCCGGTCAATAAAACCATGGTAGTCTAAGGGTCTCTATTTCGCCTTCAAACCGCTAGCTTCGATCGAATAGTTAATACGGTCCTGAGAATCTAGGCCAACGATGATCCAGCATGCGAAAAGCGCGGGCTAGCTGACAGTGCATTCCTTGGTGTCACTTCCACCTAAAATGACAGAATTTCTGTAGATGCTTAGAATTCCAGAAAAAACTAGCATCTGATTTTTGATGGCTCTGCACTGGATCTTCCGTTTTCACCAGACGTTTTTTCTCAGGCGTCACCGTGATTTTGGTCCGGATGAGCTTCCACTCTAATTGTTCAAAGGTGGGGTTGGAGTCCTCAGTGGTCGTTCGTTTGATCTGGATCCGGGGAAACAAGACTATCCCAGACAACTGTTGTGAGTCAGTGATAGTGCTCATTTTCAAAATGGGCTCGTGGTACGTGCGCTAATCAAAGGGTGGTCAGCTTGACTCCAGTCGTGACGAGACCCTTGTTGGCGCTTGTCTGTCCTTCTCGTGTATTGACCGCTTCACACCGTGAGGTGTTAGAACAATGCCATACAATAAAAAAACTCACAGTTTAGGTATCCCTGGATTTCCAAGGCGCATTTGATTCGGTAAACGGTCTTGTTATCTTTGACGTGCTTGCTCGGCCACGAATGCCCCGGAAGTTTGTAAGTATGCCAGTGTCACAAACCTCATCAACCACTCATTCGCTGTAAGCTTCACAACCAGCAAACACAGATAGACAGATAGGCTGATACCTGCGTGCGACAGTAATGTCATAAGGCGAGCACTAAAGCACAAAATAACATTCACACTCCAGAAGTCACTCATCCTTCAAGGTTTTGAAGTTAAAGTCGACCCAAAATGGCGACTGTGAACCCGGAAGTTTGTGAGTATGCCAGTGTCACAAACCTCATCAACCACTCATTCACTGTAAGCTTCACAACCAGCAAACACAGATAGACAGATAGGCTGATACCTGCGTGCGACAGTAATGTCATAAGGCGAGCACTAAAGCACAAAATAACATTCACACTCCAGAAGTCACTCATCCTTCAAGGTTTTGAAGTTAAAGTCGACCCGAAATGGCGACTGTGAACTAGAGGAGCAAAAATGAACTGGGGACTGGAAACAAAATATTTAGCTTCGTGTATGAATTGAATTGCAAACAAACTGTTAGAGCTGGCGCCACGATCAGTCTTATGAGACTTATGCTGATGGTACCCATTTGCCACTCGACAACTGGTACCCGTGATTCGTGTGTTAGACGCGTGCGGCTCTCACTTAGGGTTGACAAACTTAATTTATGGACGTGGTTGCAGTAACAACAGAGCGCTGAATACTGTCTAATGGGGCGGATTCATTGGAGTTCGGATCAGGTTGATGATGAAACTAGGAAGTTCGGGCTACCGTGTTCATACACTTTTTTGTCTTTCATATGAGTGATCATTTTCTCTCACTGTTAAGCATCTGCATGATGTGCAGTCTGTTGACGATGGTTTTTTGACGGTTTGTGTGGTCTGACACCAGATGTCTGACAACCAGAGGCAATGGCTTATCATGATTTACTGTATTGTTATCCTCCACAGACGATCCCGTCATTACCGACGCCGGTTCAACTGTCAAATTTGAATGTTAATGCAGTTATTCAAGTAGGTCGTATATGAAGCCCGGCACGGATGTTCTTGTTCATTGTACTTTCGTAGCGTCTTACAGGTTGAGTGAAATGATTATAGGCCAACTGGGTGTGTTTGTTTTATCAGTAGTGCCAGACTGATGTCAACAGTAGTTTGCCAGAGTCGCTTGTGTCCAATCGTTACCGTTGTTCAGAAACCTGCGGATGCATTAGGTCGTTCACCAGTCGTATCGGTGTATCGGCGTCGTATCGGTGTATCCAAGCAAAATAAAGAATCAACTTTCAGACTGAACGCGTGTTAAACTTAGACGTTTCCAAGTAGTGCGCGCAATGCTCACGGGTACGAAGTTCTTCAGCCTATCTCTCGGTTGTTTTTATTGGTCATGGGTGTCTGACGAATCGTCATCAGTTTTTCAATAAGACATGGTAGATAACGCGTAGCTCTGCATTCGTGTTTGATTGCGGCTTGCCGGCTACCACACTTGTCTCATCTGCTTTTCTATTGCACCAAATAACTTTCTATTAGTAGGATGACGGGATCGATTGATCGGCGGGAAAACTTTATGGGGCTTATAAGCCGACAATTAACGAAGATGGTCACCTCCACTGGTCCATTGCAGACATTTTAAGGCGATGAGAAAATTCACTTACTGTTAGTCATAGAGGACAACTATTCTTTTCGCCACTGAATAATATCGATCGATATCTGCATCCATTGAAGTTAGCAGGCCTATATCATGCAACTGATATCGCGACATCGTGCTGAGTGGATCTTGAACCAACTCTTCACTCATCTCTGGTAAATGATTTTCCCATTCATCCCGGTAGTTTTTTCGATTTTCTTGATACATCTTTTGGCCTTGATGTAATGAGACTTTATCAGGTGTTAGTCATTCAGCTTGTGAATATTTTGAGTTCCGGCTGCTATGATATCAGTGATATGGAGAATGAAGTGAACACTGAGGTAGGACAATGGAAGCTGAGTGCTTTGACGTATTGCTGACAGAGGGGTAGACGATAGTTGTGTACTGCAGTAAATCAGTATCCTGGGGTAGTACAGATATCCAGGGTAAAATGACACAGAACGATGCACTCTTGGTAATTAACAATTTCAGGTGTATAGTGTAAGTTCCTTTCAGTCTTGCTATCTACACCTCAACACCACGAATGGCTTGGTTCTCCACATATCATAATATCTCAAAATAGGATATGGTGACGTGGTTTCGTCACTGTTCACCACATTGTCATTCAAATAGGCAATCAAATCGCAGCAACTTGGGACAACGGACTATATCGAGGGACGGAGTGTGAGTTTAATTGAACAGCTGTTCGCTATTCCATCGGACGTCCTATACGTCCCATACTGTCTCACTACCGGTGCACCCCTGGGTACTACTGATGGGGCACGCGAGTAGTATGCTTTCTCGTAAATCCGCTTCGCGTCTGTTGAAAAATGAGATTTATTACGGAATTTGTAGCATTCGTTTACGTTTGAGTGATAGTCAGTGAGTATCCAGGACAGTTCAGGAAGACGCGTTCGAGAAGAAGACGAATACACAGTTTTTATAAACTAGATGTGTATGAGAGTTTTGCTTCCCTATCCAATAGTCTGTAACTGTTCAGCTGGTATTTTCCAATAAATAACTCCGCAGCGAAGGCCTTCTTCCTTTCACCGGACCATTGCAACAGAAGTTAGCTTGAGATAGATGGTTGGTATGCAGTTGGTGGTATACAATTACCCTTCCAACACAAAATGCCTTCCGGGATATCTTGTTTCTTTGGTTGTTGGTCTGTTCGCCGAGCTTGGCAGTTGGATTGCAAACGTTTCAACACCAATGAGTGGGTCCCACTCGACCCCACACTGACGACGTCACCTCGATTAATGATGAAACGTTTGCTATCCAACTGCCCGGTTCGGCGAACAGACCAACAGCCAAGCAGCGCACCCGAGCTACATTTATTCCACAACATTGCCAATCTTGTTTCTTTGTTTGCTGGCCATATTGCTTGTTAGGGTGGGTCTCAAACGATCATACTCAGGTTGTCTTTCCGAGGTGATTTCTTTCCTCAGCAACCCACGATAACTCTTCACATCTTGTGATTAAATAACACAACACACCCCCAGTAAATCGAATTGGGGGGCGAGATGGCCGAAGTGGTTAGAGCGGGATTACTAAGCGAGGCATGACGCTGCCACATATCCAGTTTATATCCAAAACGTGATAATAGTCTCAAACGTCTTTTTACTAATCTGTGTCGGTCACCTTTTGTTTCTCACCAGGGCTAGGTTTAGTCGCGTTGTAATTCGTCATATTTGGTTTCCTTGGCCGAAGTGGTTAGAGCGCGGATTACTAACCTGAAGGTCCGCGATTCGAATCCGACCTCCGCCACTCTACTTCCCCTGTCTAGGCTTGGGCAACCTGGCAGTATCCCAGCCCTCGTGCTCCCTTCGGGTGGCATGGCAGCTAGGCACCGGAAGGGTGCTACAGCTGAACGCTTTTAAATCGAATTGCTCTACTCTCCATAAGACATAAATTACATTGATGATCCACGTGAGCAACTTCGATAGCTTTTGTTGAATAATCCACGGCTACCAGAAAAATAACGCCAGTCAACCAACATACCCTGTGCACATATTCAGTCTATTAGTGAAAAAAACCCATCTGTTTTAAAACACTCAGGGTAACCGCTGGACGAAGAATTCACTCACCACTGACTGATAAAGATGCACAGTTGCAGTTAGGTAATCAATGCAGGTGATTAGTGATTTTAACGTTTAAATATTCCTTTATGAACTGCCCGTGTGATCGGCACCGACCAAGAGCTTGCAATTCCCGTTAACTACAGGGAAAGTTATAGTCAGCTGGCGCATCCAGCTAAGCAATATTTGACAATCAGCCTCGAGTGCACACTCTTCAGTATCCGTTCGATTCTAAAATGGAAAATTTTAGATTTACCAACTGTTCGTTGCACATGTTCGAACAACCTCCAGAAAGAATTCAGAAGAGTCCTAGTCACTTACCTCTGCAGCTATCTTCAAAAGCTAATGCACCCTCAAATTGTTGACTGCACGAATATGTGAAAATAGAAAGTAGCTTACCGTACCCGATTATCAGGTCTAATCCACATATGCCAAATATCACCTACGAGATTAGTTCGGAATAAGCGCATCAAACCTCGATAGTAACCTCCGAGGCTGTTGTAATCCGACTTTACTACTGATGCTGTGCTTTGCGAAGCCTTTGTTACAAGTATTGTAGCTGAATCGTTTTGCTCCACTTCTGAGTTGTCAGAGTGTGCGACCATGCTCGCCTATGGGCATTGTGACCCCCTCACATTGATCAGTGCACTCTTCAATCCCGTCTGTTAGCGTTTGACGTTTTTCTGATATCTTCCCAGCTTTCCATTGTATTCTGTGTTTTATGCGTCGGAATGACGCGGCTAAAATACACCCAATTTCAGTTGACCTTTCTTTATAGAAACTGTTTCGTTATTTTCCACTCCAGCATGGGAATAACCTATTTCTGCTAGCTGATGATTTAGCCCCATAGACACAGCTCATTACGTATCCTGTACACACACATACACACACACTTGTGATTTGTCACATGTCTTTGTATGGCTTGGTTTAGCCGAAGCGACGCCTGCCCTCAACACACTGTGTGCATTCCTCTCTGTGCTATGCTTGATAGACCGGATTTTTATCATTCGTCATATATGAATCCGATTAGACGACTGAGCTATGCCATATCATGTGATATCTGAATCAGTGACCGTTTGCTATTGTTCACCAAGTCTTCTCGTATTTGTGTGTGTGCTCTGCTTTTTCAATCGGCTACCACAGATATCATGGTGCTTGCAGTCAACAAAAGTATATTAACTAAAGCTTCAAATTAGTTGACCATGCGCTCAACCCGCAACAAATCGGACAAAGCTCACCGAACTAGTGCTTCTGTAATTCCAGAAAGTACGTCTCTTTTACCATCAAGTGTCGATTATCGCATATCCCAGTGACTCATTCAGTCTTTTGCCACATGAACTTGTTTCCGTATCGTGTAGTCAGTGCTGTGTAGGTCGGCTGTGCAGGACGGTTAGTAATGCAGCTTGCGGGTCTTTTCGAAGCGGGCATTATTTATTCTAGATGTTTCACTGTGTCCTTGTGGGCCTGTGGAACACATTTAGTACCCTGGGCAATTGGGAATGTTGAGCGTATGGTACCGTTGTCTATGGTGACTTTCCATGACCACCATTGCGTGGACCGAAGCAAATCTGATGAGTGTTAATCACAGATGGACATGTGGATGTGATACGGTTCCAGTTTGTCAGTAAGGTTCAGCCCCTGTGTACCGGGATTGAAGGCTACTGCGTTCGTCCGTGAGGGTAATATTATTTGGACGTCCTAAAGTGTCAAACATCCAACGCTACCATAGCTCACTTCCTGTATCTACCGTTCTACCGACCGAGCTGATTAATAGCTAACATTATGCGTGCATCGGCTCGTCTTATGAGTTAATGGACTACTATGAGTTAAGTGGACTACCTGGGACACCCACCGCACACATTATTTAGTTGTTCCTACATGGTTTGAAAGCTATAGATCCTCAGTCCTCCTGTCTACTCTCCTCTTTCACACGGGGTGAAGAGTCTTCTACTCAGCGAGAATTGCCATTCATACTGCACTGTGCAGTCCATCAGCTTACTTACTCATCTAGGTTTTGTCATGTGAACTGACTTTTGTTTTATATGATTAACCATATGTAGTCGAGCTTCTATCCGGTCCCGTAAAATCCATGCTGTTATCCCGGTAACATGTATCCCAGCTATTTTGGTCACAACAGCTGGAAAAATTTGGTCACAGCTCATTAGGTTCACCACTCATTGTCAACATCAAAAAGTGAGCCTAAATGTTACAGTTACTTCTGACAAGAAATCCCTGAAGTTGAGACCGAATGAATCAAGCGATTTTCGTCCTCGGTACTGTTTAGATGCCATCCGATAAATTGTCACCGGTCAATGCCAAAATTAAAGAACAGTCGATGTAGAATCGTTACTTAGTGCTGACGTCGAACTGGAACAAGTGGGGTAGAGTTTTATTGACCACGAGATGCACCACAGTTGGCGGACTAACCGGCTGTTGTACTGGCCTTCGCCTCTCTGTTTAGACGAGATAGCTCAGTGATAAGAGCACGAATTTACTGACCTGAAGGTCCGTGGTTCAAACCTGGCCTCTGCCTCTCGACTTCTCCTGTATATGCTTGGGCAACCTGGCAGTATCCCAGCCCTCGTGGAACCTTCGGGTGGCATGGCAGCTAGGCACCGAAAGGGTGCTATAGCTGAACGATTTTCTTTTCAGTTTAGTCAGAAACATTCTAATCCGGTTGAAAAGCGCTTTACTCAGTGTCTTAGGAGGCATTGTTGTTCAAAATAGTTCCCCGGTCGTTTGTGGGATCCCCTTCTTGATTGCTGACTTCGAACATACAATATCTAAAAATGATTTGCGTTTTATCATAGGTTACCACTTCAGAAGTCTCTGTTTTAAATATGGCTTTTGGTTGCCGTCTGACCTCCTCTCAGATCTCGTGCTTCCTTCCCGTTAGACATCGAGAAGATTCAGCAGCTGAACGTTGACGAAAATCCGATTGTCCCACGAAGTGTGCTTCTTCCTGCTTTATATGCTCTGAAATTTCGAAATTTTTATAATGGAACTACTTTGTATAGTTCCACGTATGTGGATTGTTTGTTTCGGTCAGTCGCGTCAATCTCATCGTACCTTTTTGTGCCTTCGAACTAGGCGAGCTTCTCACTGCCCAGTGGGTTTGACCGATAAGGCATTAGTGCCAGATCGGGTCTTGCATGGAAAACCTACTGAATGCAGTCAGAGGCTAGGGATGGGGTCCCCGAAGAAAACTCTACATCCATCTGATACCATTTCTGTTGGTAGCTCGAGATGAGTTCGATCAATCCATCTTCCTTTAACCAGGAAACCGGGATGTATCACTCGCTGTCGGCTTTTCGCTAACTGATTTCCTCCTACAAGTTTCTTCAATGAATCCGGTGCTTGTCAGTAACCCAGTTGCCCTAGTGTATCCAACCAAATACTCACTACCAGCAACTCACATGTTACTTCTACTACGTGGGAGGAACTTGAACATGACTTGGACATCTATAGCTTGCGTGAAATTTGTCCACCGACAGCTCTGTCCCAGACTTACTTCCACTGTTGACCTATGTTGTCTTCGAAGGGCTCGTATAAGACGTGAGATTGGTCTTACACCTAAAGTGTCTAGAGCTAATAAACACTGAATGATGGATGTGTAGTCGGAGGCCGTGTGCTTCTGGTACTGCAGGACTTGTGCTCCTTGATTAGTGCTCATCAATTGTCGTTAATGGGCTTTCTCAAACCAATGGCTTCAGATAACAAGTGGACCCGCTATCCTGCAAGTTACGGATCCGCCGAGCTCACTTGTTTTCACTCTGCCAGCATTCAAGTTCAAACAAGTGAAAGACAGCACGGAAATAAATAATAGTTGAAATGATACGCGTGTCGGGTTTACCATGCTCCATTCTTCGCTGACCTGGAGCTGTGGTTCATCGTAAAAAACCTCCTGCTACGTGTTGGTCGAGAAGTACAATTAAACGTCATTTCTACTCTCGAAAAATTGTTGGCTTATTCGAATGTAGATTCAAGAAGGCACATGGTTCATATAATAAGGTGTGCTCCGTAATAGACTGGCACGTCCTCGGAATAACTCATTTGCAATTGGGGATATTCTTTCCTGCAGAAAGTGATGATGAAACACTTTGACTTTGTTGTTGCTTCTTGACCTCCATAAAACGGCACATTACATTTTATCACCTACAAGGAGCGGTTTGTAGGACAGACGTTGAGCGCATGAAGTAGTGCCTCTAGTCTGTCACGGTGCTTAGTGAGGTGGTCGGTTTATGATTTCGCCTGGTCAGACTTCGATTTAGTTTAGTTCCTCGTTTCTTCTTTCACGTGTTACCTATTTGTTTCTTCAAACTTTGCTTTATCATGCAGGATTTGCCTCCACCACCTGCATATCCTGCTCAGACGGACTTCGAGCGAGTGGATCCTCAGACACCTTATGTGGAACCTGACGTATGTTCCTCTCATTTTTATTTTCAGTGAACTGCATTCATTCCATACATGTCTGTGTAAGCTGTCTTCCATTGCCCTTCCCTTGTTTTTGTCTTGGTTGACTCGAACTCGGAGGGAAAAACGCATCTACACCGGATATCATTTATAGTCCGTGACTCACTAGCGAACGGTTCTTCGAGGTTCCAGTGAATACTGATGCCTGTACTATGATCCCTAAGCGATGGGAACGGCTTTTCTGCACGAAACACCCCCGTTAATCCTTCAACAGCTCATAATCCTTTGAAGTGGGCGGATCGTTTACAGACGCTATTGCGTCATTGGTGTTAACTCTGTCACATTGTTCTGTCAGATACCCAGTTATCTGCACATACAGAGAAGGTAACCCTTTCCGGTGCCTCTGACGTGGTTACCTCAAAGCGGTGGATAACATGTAATGTAGCGGTTATAGAAAGTTTATGTTTATGTGCGAATCGCCGTCACCGATTGTGGTCCGTTGAGTGTCATTTCCCATGGCTACTATTCGAGGTTAGATACATTGGTGCTGGTTGTCTCACTGAGTGTGAGCTTCCCACATTGATGGTGCCGTACACTGTTTTTCTGTACAGAACCATGTGGAATAACTTATGGTTGTGAGGCTTTGGTAAAACTGATTCCAAAGTATAGTTATACGCTGCCACGACTGTTTCACCTCAGCTTTTATTTTATGGAATTGATTTTCGGAAGCTATTCACGATTCATATGCTACTGCTGAACACCTTACAGTCCGTGGATGGGGATTAGGGTTTGGATCAGGACCTTGAACTTAGGTCGTGAGACTCGTCCTACTGATCTGGAGCTTACCAAGTAAATTGGCCTTACAATTGTGTGGTAAGTTTGCAAACAGTTATCTGCTGCCTCTTTTTATGGTTTTTGAACACTCGTAGGTGTTTCTGGTATTGTCTTCGTCTGCTCACATCGTGAATTGCGAGTGTGATTCACTGTGGTGCTGCCATTCAGCAATCTTTCAACTATACATCTTATAACGACCGTTGAGCTGTCGTTCGAACGTGTCATCATCGATTCATGCAGAAGCCTTGCTTCTGAAGCGTTGCAATTTAAGCTACTATTTATGGAGATTTTCACAGACGGAACGTTCGGCTACACACAACTTTGCAGTGGTATGCCCTCACCCAGTTCCGGAGTCAGTAACGCCGGTTTGTCTTAAAACACACATTGAACCAAGTGCAGCTATTGGTGTGTTGGAATTTCAAGCGATGCTCACAACCTTGAAAACGGCTGTTGCGTTTTAATTGGGGCTGAAGATCCTACAGAACAGTCTAATCGTTCCGGTGTTAACTGGCTGACTCAGACGTGATTGCCTTTCTGAGCCAGCACACACGCGTCAATTCAACAACTAATCTGCATTCCAACTCTGGTTTAACATACCTAATAGAAGCGGACTGATGCAAGCAATTGGCGAGCAGATCTCATGGAGTTTCCAACCTGTTTCCGAGGCGCAACCGGGGGTTGAGAAACGGAACCCCTTTATTGAAGAAGCTGGATACACCATCCGACTCCAATCTTGGTATTATCGTCCTCATCCTGGTAGCAATACTCCAGTAATATATGCTGCACTATACGCTCTCTCTTTTGAACCCGACATTGTAAACAGTACGACATGCTTTGTTCGGTGATTTTTGCGTCCTTCGACAGGAATAGTTGAACCCCACTTTCTATCCTATTCTTTGATGTTTTTTTGCCTCCATCTCCCTTTCCCCATCGAGACGGTGTACTCATGTCTGACTGATGATGCCTGCCGAAAGCTGTTGAGTGCTGAGGATAAGTGCTGTCTCACCTGGAGACAAGATGCGTAATCGAACGGGCTTATTATTCTTTTCTAGCTCGCTAATATGTGACGTGTCTTTCTGATGCAGTTTGTTGGACCTGACACTGTCACGTTTATTTCATCCGCTAAATTCATGATAGGCTGTCACAGGAGTTACAGCAGATCTCGGTTCATGTATACTATTTTGCTTCATCACTCGGTGAAATACGGACTTGTATTCAACATGGCTGTTGTCCGTTTGCGATATCCACTTGCTAACATTCGATTAAGGCCTTGTGAGTCGTTGTCAGATAGCATTTGATGCGAGCAGTTTCGTTACACTGCGGTACCGAACCGTCTCCGTAGTCTGTGAAGGTGTACCTAAAGCATCAGATCTAATCACTGCGAAGTCTGGTGTGCTGTTACATGCCAACTCACGTTTCAAGAACCTGGGAGAGAAAAAACAGAACGCATTAGTTGTATCCAATCAGCAGATTTTACTTGATACCAAAACTTTGCTTCGCCAAATGCACACACTTTTGCTTCGCCAGAAGAACTCTGTTTGCCGCTCACCGTCTGTTGTTTGGATCTGTCTCAGCTCTTCTTTCATTTTCCCCGGAAAGGACGATCTTCACGAATTCGGACTGTCAAATGCTAATGAGCGGAACGATACAAATGTAAGTTGAACCAATTTTTTCGCATTTACCCGAGGTAACTCAGTAGTTAAGGCGCGACCGGAATGCCCTGGATTCGAACCCAACCTCGGCATCTCGACTGCTCCTGTCTAGGCTTGGACAAACTGGCGGCTCACCAGCCCTCGTACTTCCTTCAGGTAGTCTGACACCTGGCACCGAAAGGGCGTTACAGCTGAAAGGCGATTACTTATTTTATCACTTGTAGTTGACTAGAATGACCATCTGCTACTCTAAGGTGGTGTGCCGAAAATTAAAAATAACAGCATTTGCTGCTGACACCAGATATTTTCGCTTCCTGTCAGTCTGTTTTGCCAGTCTGTTTTTTTGCCCGTGGAAAACCAACTTGTTCTGGTTATTTTTTGATATAAATTTGATATTTTTTGATATAAAATTTGACTATCAATATTCGAGTCTGAAGCGATCTGTTGCGTAAGCACCGCAACTGATATTCACTCCGGTGAGTTCTCGAATGCTAATGAAATCAACATTGTGAAAAAGATGCTACCCAGTAGATTTCATGAAAACCGTAGCTGAGTCATAGATGACACAGTAACCCGAACACAAGACCTCTCTGTCGACCGTGACTGCCCCTTATCGTCAACAGACACACGGACGAATTCAGGATGGCTTCTCCGACTCCAGCATTTTAGAAGTAGACGATACGATAAAAAAGCACCACGTCCATCTTACGATGGTGCTCAAAAGGTCTTTGTGTTGGAGACTACAGTTCTAACTGCATAAAAGGGAGATTAGTGGGCGACTGAGTGTGCATTGCCGAACACAGGAAACGCTCAGTTTCCACCTCGCTATCAAACACAAGGGAGATTAGGCCGTTCGTTTCCGTACTCTAGCGGAAAACCACACGGTTCCACAAGCTCAACCAAGTCAACCAGGACCTAGGATAAATACTTGACGTGGCATACTACTCAGTTTTTTCTGAGACACTTTGCCGAGCTACATCTGGCACCTTCGTCGATTGTCTGCCCCCCACTCTCCCAGATAGTGGGCATTTGAGTCTTCCCACCAGAGTATGTGAACCCAGTAGAAGCATGTGGTTCTTTCCTCCCTTGAGACAGTTGTAGGTTTGTTGATTGCTTGCGTTATATTTAGATGAAGCGACTAGACCTGTAATTTGTTTTATTTTATTACCACGTATTGTGGCGGACGAGATTGTGGGAATCGAATTCACCTCTCAATATAATTGTTTTTACGGATAGGACTCTCCCTACTACAACACTGGATTTAGACCAGTTGGCGCTCACACACTGAAAGGTTGCCATAAAAGGGTCTCATGTTAGTTTTCCAGATAATGTATTTCAAATGCCCACTTTCCAAGTTGCTTCTCTAGACTGCTTCGGTATAGCACACTGCTGGTCACAAGTGAAAACCTTGAGCGCCTGTATCTGTCTCATGCTGTTGCCCGAAGTGATAAACTCGTTCATTTGATTGAAACGCATGCCTGTCTTGCATTGATTTGGACTAAATTGATCATCCACTGTCATCACGGTGAATCGTACACGATCCTGAAGTTTTGACAGATTTGGAACCTCGAGCAGTCAACTGAAAACGACGTTTTGATTTCCAGAAATACTGATAATAGTGTGTCCGGCTCAGTCTGCAGAAAACCGAACTGTCTTGGAGTGTATCTCACCACCAGAAGCATTTATCTCTTGCAGAACAACCGTAATTTTCTTCAGACCTTGTTCTGCAAATAAAGGCCGATTGGCCTCTCAGACTTTATTCCTGAGGTGCCTGAATTGCTCGAAGTTTTTTTCACTCCGACCAAACAGTTATCTTGATACTAAAAAATATTATAAACGAGAGATTCAGGTGCGTTCCGGGCGAGTCTTCCGTCAAGACTAAATTAGTCAACCGATCTTTGCGTCGTACATGGAACTGACCGTAGGTTGGGGACTCGAGCAAAGGAACGCGCTGCAATCCTGGCGAACCGAGAGCTAAATTAGTCATCAGTAGACACTCAATTGAGACAAGATGCAATACTCTTTACTTGACGTCGTGGCGTGAGGCGGTCAACCAAATGATTTGAAGTTCTTTGAAGCCATATTAATGAGTCGATTCAGACCTGCTCGAAAATTCAATTCAATTCAATTTATCAGCTATAAACCGTGTACCATAGGCACATTGGTTCCAGCTTCTACAATTTCAGTCACCGGAAAACGGGAGTGTGGAACATACAACCAAACCTTGGAGGTGAAGGCATGTTCAGCTTGTTTGGAAATTGGGTAGCTACGCGTTGAAGGCGATAGGTTTGTTGCATTGTTGACTGCGCGATTTGGCCATTTCTTCCAGTATCATTAACAGTTAGTGAGTTGAGTCCCGGGGTCTCCAACCAGGGAAGCGGCAGTTGACTGCTCGATTACGTTGACTGGTTAGTGTTATCGTACTTCGTTAACAGGTCATACACTGAACATCTCTTAGATGCTTCCACCGAGCACAGGGCTGAGAAAAAGAGCTCTGTGAGGCAGACGGTCCTGTGGCATGCGGAGTACGTGCCCTGACCAGCGCAGCCTATGAAGCATGGGTAATTCATCTATCGTGGAGAGTTCCTTGTTCCTGAGGCCATCTGGCGTATATCAGCATTACTAATCCGATGTTCGCACCAGACCCAACCAATGCTTCGGAGACATCAATGATCAAACACTGATATCTTCCGTATGTCCTTTGTGCGTGAAAGCCACATTTCTGATCCATAAAGCAGTATAGATCGCACCACTGCAATGCAAACTCTGCTATTAACAAACAAACTCACGTCAGATCGGCACGTCGGAGGTTGGCAAAAGTTGCCGTGGCCTTTCCGATTGGAGGACTGATCTCATCTCCAGCCAGTTCACCGGAACTTATACAGCTGCCCATGATTATACTGATTGATCACATTACCTTTTAAATAGGTATAGATGTCACTGAATTAGTGGGTTGTTTCATTTAATTCCATGCTATACACTGCTACGGACGAGATTAAATGTAGTTAATTCACCCTCCAGCAATGTTATTCTCACTACTGTGCTCGATTTGCCCAGCTTTTATGATTGAATGTTTTGAAGTGTTCCCCCCGGGGTGCTTGCGATGGGCTACAAACTTGTTTCTTCTCTGACCACTGTTTTCTTCTCTTAATAATTTAAAGGTAACTAAGTGAACTTTCTGGCTGTACGACAGTTGGGCATCAATGTTAACACTGATATCGCTGCCTATGGTGACACTTATGTGGTTGGTATTTGTTCATTCATGATGACTATTGTGTACATGCATTTTTATCTCTCTGTCCTTGAGCAAGATTCACGTAGCGTCTTGTCGTGTTGTTTTGCAACTGTACTGGTCAACAATAGACTTAGTCGTAGTACTCGCGTTTGTACACCTGCTTCACATGAATGTAGCCGCTCGGTATCACTCCTGTTCAGGTACACTCATGTCATAGCGACGCCTGCCATCACTCACGGACTAGCCCAGGAGATTTCACATTTGGTCTTAAATAGACACTTCTTCGGTACTCTTCACCACAACCCGGGTTATTTTGTGCCAAATACCACATGATTTAGTGCACAAAATCACATCGGTATCCAAGTGAACGCTGACAAACTGGATGTATTTTCATTACTTTATCGATTAACCAGACCCGTTCAATTCACACTCAGTCGTCTGATCGTGTTGAATGAAATATATGACTTGACCTCTGTTAATCTAACATTACACACAAGTGACGTTTGTGAGCGAGACGAGATTACACTGAGGTCATCGGACACGCGAACACAAATCACAGTTGGCATTACTTCATCAGTAATACGGTAGCGCTTATGGTTTTGTATGTGTACTGCTACGCCAAAGAACGGCTGCCGCGGAAAAGCGGACTCTCTTTCTGGACGGTGTTCCCTCATGTGCAGCGGGAAAAACTGGCCTCAAGAAGTTCGCAAAATAGACTCACTTGCACACTAATTTGGTTTTAGCAGGAGACTCAGTTAAATCCCAGCTGAGTCGAGAGTTTTCAGTCATCCTGTGAGTAGTTTCCTTCTTCAAGAAGTTACTTTGTAAGCAGTGTATTCAGTATAAATGTGATACATCATTTACTAGTTCCTAGTTTTAAGTATAAATTTAAGCTAATACTGTCCATCGACTGAAAAATGCCTCTCAACGTTGGATTGTCGCTTGTTTCATAGTACCATGGTCTCCATTCATGTTTAACTTCATCCTGGTACTGTCAATGTATTCCGAGCGGTATCGGATGGTGAAAACCCATGATGTCATGTAGGATTTCTCGAAAGTCACCCTGACAATTTTTGGCACCAAAGAAAGGACTCCCTTGTTAGACGTGATAAAACTTTGGCCAGGACATGGCAGGCCATTGATCCAAGTGACGGGAATGCTGTAACCTTTTAAAACGACCGTCTGCCACTGTTTGCTGACGTTGTGTTGGATAGTATTTACAAATCCCACTGGGTTGTGTGTATTTCAATACCGGTCAAGGACGTGAGTATTTTGTTCCTTCATAAGGATATTGACCTGTTTTGATGTAAGCCCCCACCGTTTGACTCTCGATCTTCATCAATGTGGTGGGTAGACAGCAGTATTTATAACTGGTCCATTAGTGTTGATGATGATTCTGTCGGCTAGAACACCTTAGGACCCATCACGTGTTTCTATTCGAACACGATTTCCTTTTTTAAGAGTGCTTCACGAGTAATATGCACTCTGGAATTGTCCTCGATATTAAGGCCCAACTTCAATAAAGGAAGCCGATTCTATATGAATAGCAGAATTCCATAACACCTTCATACTCACCAATCAGGTAACGTATTGTCTTTTTCAATGCCGGGAATCATAAATCCTGTCTCTTTAGTGGCGCTCGTACTCATACAGTGACCTGATTGGGATTGAGTATATTGATCTCAAATATTGGAGGTCGCTTGAGGGACACTCATCCATTTTATATTTTAAGCCGACCCGGCAGTCGACTAAACATCATCCCTTTACGTCAGTACCATGTTTAGTCGGAGCAGTGTCCCACAACTGGAACATATTCAAGGTTTTTGTGTTGCCGTTTTTCGCATCTACTCCACCCAGTATGACGACCAAGTGCAGTCCATGTCGAGCCTAGCTAATCGTCTTTTGGCGTCTGGTTTCCCAAAAATCGGCGCCGTCCTTCGTCATGCCTTCCAGGAGCTGGTACCGCCTGTGCGTCTAGAACAGGAGCGGACGGAGGGTGCAGGACGTGGGACACCACAGCCGAGTTACTCGGCGAATCAGGTGAGCCAACAGCTGCCGGAATAGGCTTGTGTTGTCTGAGACTTTGCCCGTTGATTTTTGCCATCAACATCGCTGGTGATTGCGTTATTCGGGCATATGCAATGTTTTGCCACCCATTTTCCTAACTGTGCGTTTCATCCTGTCTAACCTAACATATGGTTTGTGCGTAACATCACACTTGGTGCTGTGCACTTCAGTCATCTCTATTATCATCAATTCTAATTATAAAAAGGTGTAGTTTAAGATCTCACCGTACGGCCTTCCTGGTTATGTTTATTTTGGTGTGTTGTGACTCGCTCAGAGTAACTTTCGAGATCGCCTCACTGTTTCGACGGCTACCCCCCCTAGATGAGCATCCCTGGGCACGATGTGCTAATGACTACTGATAGACATGATTGATAGACATGGTTTAGTCACTAGGATGATGGCGCTTCTCCATGGAAACTATCATCCCAACAGCTAAACACCAATCTCAGCAGAAGAGTCAGAACAGACAGCTCCCATAGAAAGCGACAAACACCAATCACGGAAGAGGTAAAATACCTCTTTTTCTCGGTGCTACAAAATGCAATGGCAAGTACAATAGGTGCCATTTGCGGATGGATGCCAGTTTATGAATATTAAACTGTCAGATGGAGAAACAACATTTCAGCAGATACATTTCAGTAAGACACTGTGGTAATTTGTGAACCTCATGAACGACTTTAACGGTCGAACAGAACAGGCAATATGTCGTCAATGTATCACAAATGTGGTAAACTGTCTACTGATGGGGCTTTAGTCGCAAAGATTGAGACATGTCCTCGGTAAACAAACCCTATAATCAATGCGTTCAAGATACTGCCACAGACTTGAACGCTTATTGTCAAACCTATTCCTGTTAAAGACTAAACATCTCCAGGTGATTCCACTTCGGCAACTCAGAAGCGTTCGACTCTTCTTCTTTGCTCCGGGTTATGGCCAGCTGAGAGAACGTCCGAATTGATCTGTGGGGAGGAGTTTATCAATTTTCGCTTTGGTCGAGATACCGATGGTGTGTATCCTTGATCGGAGCCCACAGTACGAGCGACCTTAATCTTGCTTCGACATTGTTCAGCTCTGACACCCTTCGGATCTGCAACAGGTGTTCAGACTCGAAGAAACGCAAGTCATCTTATACTGCCTATTATCTTAATCTCGGAATGGCTCTGTTGTAAAATTCTTACTCTCGATGAAAGGTCCGTTGTTCGAATCTACCCTCTAGCTGTCCAACTGCTTCTGGCTGGACTAACTGATATCCTGTTCTTGGTCACACGCAGGCAATCCATACCAGCAGATAACTCGTTACCATACGGGCCATTTATTCGGTGTCGCCGCAAATCTCCACTACCATGCTGGAATATGTAGTTTCACCGGATGCTAAGTAGGAAAGCTGCATTCAGTCCTTTTCCTTATTGAGGCTCATTGAGTACGTGTGCGTGGACCTTCGCATGAACACTTGCTTGACTTGAGGCCCATGCGTAAACTTGATCATTTCGGGTTTGGGTGGCCAGATGGTCCAAGTGGTTAGAGCGCGAATTTACTGACTGGAAGGTCCGTGGTTCGAACCCGACCTCTGACTCTCGACTCCCCCTGTCTAGGCTTGGACAACCTGGCAGTATCCCAGCCATCGTGGAACCTTCGGGTGGCATGGCAGCTAGGCATCGAAAGGGTGCTACAGCTGAACAATTCGATTTCGCGTTTGATCTGTGCTGATCAGCTTACCTACTCGATAGATCTTGATTACGACTTTAGTGCTGGTGTGTCAAATCCCTCTACAATAATACATCTTCCGGTGACTCCCTGTTCAGGTGTAAGTCTATGCATCTATACTCTCAGATCCGCTGTGGGAATCGGTGTCCTTTTACCAATCACGACTAAGTGAAGCGGAATTCACGGCCGTGAAACGCGCCACAACCTGTTCTCTACTCTCAAGCTCCAGATGTAAGTAGAATGACAGCTGGCAGGTGACCTAACTGTGTCTGTGCGATGTGGGTGAGCCCACACATGAGACTTACCGCGAATCGCGGGGATCGTCGACACGGTCCGGCCTTTGTTTTCCCTCGCATTATGTGCACTTAATATTTTCATCAGAGGCTGATAAACTGCAACCATCAACATTACTCCTTCAAACGTTTTGATTTCTGAGGATCTTCGAACTATTCTGTACGCTGACAATTTGCGGGTTTATATGGTGCATCCTGGTGAATGGTTTCTTCTACTGCTGATTCTATAATTTGATGGAGTTCTACCATGTGATATCTACGAGGCTGCCCATTTGATCTATTTTCCATCTGTTGAATTTTTCCTTTCCATCAGACTGCTCCGCTTTCAGTTAGCAGATATGGAAATGAGGCCTGCCTGTTAGTCATTCTAATTATCACAATTCTATCACTTATGCTGCTTCTATTCACACGGCAGTTGACCGAATATTTCCTGATATTCGCTTGATCCAAGTTACAGCGTTGATAATCCAGCTTGTGTAGTCTACTCACTGCTACACCACTGCTTACTGATGATGTTACCCCGACCAGTGACGAAACGGTAAATTAAACCGTTAAAAAGTTCCCACACTGCTTTACCAAGACCCCATACGTTTAATCTTTCGGAAAATAACACACTTCATATCGGATTGTACGTGTGTGGTTTGACCCATTTTTATATTCTGGGTTTTTTTACTCACATCTACCGATGTATTGAGCGGAGCGGTTGATCCTACGTGAATACCTCTGTCCCCGGGATACTGGTGCTGTTTAATTCTTAACTAATTAGTCCCTAATTATTCCTTCAAATTTAACGTTTTGCTAGGCTTTGATTTCTCCGTCATACTGATTTCCTTCGGGGTGTTGGTTTATTATGAAACCACTAAGCTTGAGTTGAGGGGCTAACGAACTGTACGTTTACGTCAAGAGCCTGAGTCGCTGCAGAAAACTACTGCTTTGAAGATCTTCACTCCAGAAATGTGAACGTCAATGGTGCCTATGTGCTCACATACCAAATGTGGCGGACGAAACGCTGTGCAAACCACTCTATTTTCTCGGTTTTATGGGTTATCCTAATTTACTTGACGGATGACCAATTACTATATTTGCTAGATACTCCGTTTAAAACTCTGGCCGGTTTATCGCAGCCACTGTGCCCGATGAATACGAATTGTTGGTTGAATTACCCTAGGCGAGTGGCGACGGTGATGACCTACTCACCAGATGCACCACAACTTTCTAAACGCTAGTGCATCTCTCACCCACGCAGTTCACATGTTCAGTGTTGTTCAGCTGCCAGGACCGTAGCGTGTGTGTTCTACGAACAGTCCTCAGCCAATGGGTTCTCAACAGGCGATGGTATCATTCTCATTAAGACTGATGTACTTTACACGTAGTACCACTTCCAAAGTCCTAATTAAGTGCAACACCTGCGTGCAAGTTAACTGTATGGTTGCAGAGAAAATACAAATACCGATCGATTCAACTGATGGAGGATGCAGGTAGAATTCAAGGCACTGATCAACCGCGTGGAAGACTTGCTAGTGTGTCAACGCCATGGTGGTCTTTGAATACAGCATACGACCGTTGCTACAGGTTACACGATTAATCGGGTAAAGACGTATGAAACAAGTTCATTAGCTGATAGGATGGGTTCACCAGTAACCTTTGGAACCGGTAGTGGAGTGATATGCTGTTGTTTGGAGGACTTCATTTTCGAAGCTTGCTCTGATTTCTGACTGTTTATGAGTGATGTCTTGAGATTGGCGACCTAGTTTCATGTCTATGCTGTTTCAAATCGTGTTTTACGAACAGTTATCGTTACGATACAACTAATCGATTAACCTCCGACCCAGTTTCAACCGAGTATCTATACGACAGTATTAATTTCTTTCGTCGACATGGTTCTCATAGAATTTCATGTGCTATAATTTCGTTCGCAGCTGTACGAAACACTTATCTGTTTTTAAGGCGGACCCCACATTACCTGGGATACCAGTCTGTTCATAGTCACTAGAGAGTTTTTTGCCCAGTATAATGGACGGATTTTAGTACTCTATTCATACGTAAACCGTTTCTTAGTCCCTTGTTACTTTTGCTCTCGCTCTTGATCTGCAGGAGGAGCCGTGGTGTCCGTGCTGCCAACAGCGATTTGCCTCCCGTGATGACCTGGAAACCCATTTGCTTAGCTGTCTGACATAATGTGGACGGACGCTTCGAGTGACATTACTCATTGATTTAATATTCCGGTCGCCTGTCTCTCACTCCGCGTATATTCAGCGCGATTCACTCCTTGCCGTGCACCTTCACGGTTAGCGCCGCCCTCCCATCCTGAACGGTGATATATATCATTGTGCGTGGACGTAATCGATTGAGTGTATGGACTGCCTCATTTTCATTTCGCACCCAAGTCATATTCCCAGGTGACATAACCACCTCTTTTTTTAACACGAACGTGCATCAGTACTTCTGCACCCAAAGGAAGTCCTTCATCATGCGATTTGACACGTCACTTGTTTTACTGAAGTAATTTCCTTTTTTCTACGAGCTCTGACATTCGGACTCCACCACAGATTATCACATGATGTCATTTTCACTTGTGTGTTGATTGATGTTTTGCTTATCTCTTGGTCAAACTATATTGATCCTTCACGAATTTGTGCCAGTGTTTGCGATGTGACCATTGAAAATCACACTTGCAAGTGTCGTTGTTGTGATACCCTTTCATTGAACGGTAGGTCCAATTATCTTCATGCGTTAAGTATCTGCTGAATCTCAGCTGCAACTGACAACGGGCCCAACAATGAATTATGTCACAGGCTGGAATGGATGAAGTCGGTAGTTTGCCCGCTGTTTCTCAATACGAGTAGGGACGCGGTCATCTGTTTTCTTGGCTTAGAATTGATCGTTACCACTTGTCTGTCTGCGTCGTTGTCATGGCAGCAAGACGTAGTACCTTTTATTTGTCATTTCATTTTCTACGAAATTCGTTGACCACCCGGGGGGTAAATACACCATTTGGATGCACAACCAGTCACCAGATTATGTGTTAAGATTAAACGTTTGGCTAGCTGGATTTCGGTACTAGCGAACTTGTGTTGTTCACTGGTGTGTAAATGTTAATAGTAAATAATAGAATGTGTATGTGGAGGATCAATCTCGTGTTGTTAGTCAAATGACCATAGGAACATGGATTCATCAGTTTCACGTGACGACTGAGCTACTTATTTCCATAATTTGTTGCATTAGCCTAAGGCGAAATTTGTGTCCAGTACTATAATTCCATTCGAGAGGGAATATTGACCAAGATTGTTCCCCCCTCGAGTTTTTTCGCCCCGACAGATACTATGATGTTCAACAGTTGAACACCATCTGATTGTGGACCATTCTCTTGGCTGACTTGCAGCGTCACTATCCCAAAGTTCTGACTGGCAGGTCACGCTGTCGCGAAATTCCACTGATTTGTTGAAGTTGATCGAAAGAGTGCCCCAAAGCCACGAGATCAGTGTATCCCATTCGGATGATGGAAGTCTTCGGCATCGTGTGCACAACCTGATTCTGTCGTATAAGAGCTAAGAGCAACCATCGATTGGCTTTGAGAGTAGCGTACAATCAATCCACCGCATTCATTGTATCAGTTAATCCTTACAATTATAAATTATGTTATGTTTTACCATTCAGTGTCACGCTAATTGCAGAAAATACTCCATTTGAAACTATTGCTCCCGATCAAGCCCTAGACTTTAACCACACACTGTTTCTTTCTGTGCTCATTACCGGATACTGTGCCTTAATTAGCGTAATAGATTCGCGTTTTTAATGCAAGTGTCGATTGTGTGTGTGTGTGTGCGTGCTGTATCTTTATAGGAATAGAAGGAACGTAAAGAGCTAGGTAGTGCAACCTGTACCTGTAGCTGACATTTGATGTGGGAGGATGGCATTATATCACTGCGAGCATAACTGAGTGGTAAAACTCCGTAGCTGTCTGGTTCAATTAGGATTGACCTTGGAGCCTTATGTACTTAGGTACTTATGTTCTTTGTGTGGTATCGTTTTCCATGCAAGGTGGCGGAGTAATGTATAAGACAGCCGTTAGCTAGGAAGAACGACCTGGCATCCTTTCATATTGATAGGTGGCCATAGCGGAATCTACTTGAGTTCCGGATCTGGTGCAGTACATGCTCTTTTCTAGCAGTTTGGAGAAAATCTTTTATTGCTAGTGGGAAGGAGTGCTACAAGGGATTAGCCAACCACATTTACCTTATTCCAATTCGCCGAAGCATCTGACTCTGAATCACTCTACTGTACCAGGCTGATTTTCGTGTGTGCCGTTGTAAAACTGGCTTGAGTGTTGTTTGTACAACTCTCAATATCTCCCGTGTACGAAGGCCAACAAATTTTTTGTTTTAAAGCGAATTTTGAACCTGGGACCAGTCCGAATTACGGTGGTTTTGTCGAATTTGATCAGGTGGCTGTTGATCTGTTCACCAAGCAGTTGATTTGCAACCCTTTCGGCACCATTAGAGCAGACATGTTCAGTGCGCACTGAGAATTCCATGGCTTTCATAATCGGGAAGATTGAGGGCTGTACAATCATAACTGATCAAATACCGACTAATGCACCCGAGCCATCAATTCTCCAGCACTACCAATTTATGTACCTACTCTCAAGAAACAAGTAGTGTAATGGTATAACGGATGTCATTTGGCCGACCACTGAAAGCGAACAGTTTTTAATGATCACGGGGAGTGCCGTTCAAATTGCCCAAAGTAATTGTCATAACGAACAAGACCACACTAAATTAGCTTAACTAGAATTTTACCTGTTTATATCCAGAACATATTTTAGACCTAGGTCTAATGAGCCCACGAAGAGACGACTTGATGATGATGTAGGTACGCACCAGCAGAAATGTTTTTCAGCGCTACATGGATGACGGACTCTAGGGAATTATCGAGGATGGTCATTAGTATCCACTTTTGGTGAAGCCGATTCATCATCTATAAATTCAAAAGATACCATTCCTTGGAATTCCAATGCCCGTTGCAATGTAACTAACGGGAGCATTCCTGCTTGTTAGAGGTCAACATATACATCATCGTTTGGATGTAGAATGGTGCCTGTGACGGCTCCAGTCGCGTCGGGAGGTTTCACTTATCATCCGTTCCGCATGAAGCGGACTAGGTTTTTACACTTTCTTAGACGAGCTTTACTGACGATTCGGGGGAACATGGACGCACAAACTGTTCGTTACCTGTTGTGAAACAATGCCTCTTCTCCATAATAAGGATCGTGGTATCGCCTATGTAAAAACCATTCAATCTGAGTCTGTAAGCACGAGCAAAATGACAGTGCATTTCATGAAGTTTCGTTTCGGCACTGCAATGAATGAGTCATACAAGTAATCTTGGAAACCCTCTCTCGGACCATCAGTCGCCAAATTATTCAGTTGAGTAGTGGGATTCACTAACGTATAAAAGGAACGGTTTTGATTTGGCTTCGTTCGCTTTTGGGTCGTCGAATGTTAAGAGGATGCAGTTAACTCATCATCATCATTGTCAGCTGTAATAACCGCGTACTTGGCAGCGAAGTATGAAAGCCGTTACCAGCAAACTCAGCTGCGCTGGTCACTGCCGTCTTCCTGGATGGGGACCCCGAGACGGGCCACATCAATGGCTAGAGACATTGTCAGATATGACCCAGTCGCGCCCTCAATGGCGCTCGTGCATCCAAGCTATTGCCTTCAATGCATAGCTCCTTTTCCAACCCCCTCACTTGACAGCCCACTGGATTTATGCACCAATTTATCAGCTCCCGCCTGCAATGCAGTTAACTGCCTTACGTATTTTCCACACAGATGTGGGTACGCTCTATCTCTGGCGTTTTCAGTAAATTAGTGTGCCCATCATTTGACTGTTTACGACCCAGTGGATTTCATTCAGACATTTTGGATAACTTCGTAGGTGGCTGTTCGGGTTGTCCGATTTCAGTCTGGCTTCATTACGCCCGAGCACCTTTGCAACATAACGTCGCAGGATTTTGTGAGCCTGTTACTCACACACATGCCGCCGGAGAACAAGCAGTCGATTCCCACAAAGATGGTGGCAGATTCCAGTTTCCAACTCAGTTCTACAAGTCATTGATGTTCCTCTGTGTTATCTTTGGTGTTTCAGATGAGTAATCTCGTGTTCCACCCTTGTTAAATTTTGTCAAACAGTCGTGAATTGTACACTTCCCGAGGTGTGAACAGGTGTGTCATTCTCAGCGCAGATTTCCCACTCGTCTCTGTGGTCCATTATTCAAGGTTACTAGAGCAAAGGCATCAAAACAAATCAGAATATTCACCAGGTGGACCTCATTTTCCTGTGCTCTTTGGGACAAGAAAGTCGACACTGATGATGGTGGTGAGACATCACTTGGTTGACCTCATCCAATAGCGTTTCGTGGGACAAGGACAATACGGTCTGGGATTACAATAAGAGTATACAAATGTGTGATCATCTGTTGTTGAATTCGCGCCATTTCTGGTGGTAGTCATTTTTTAAAAGGAGTAAGAATATGTTTTTTCTACTCGGCTATCGTCTCTCTCTACGATTTCCTCATTAAAGCAGTTTGGAAAAAAGTCATTCATTATCTGGGGATATTGCTTGCTCGGAGGTTCCTAGTAGGTGCCTGTCAGTGCAACTGTACACGAAGATGATCATATGCAATCCACTTTTCATGAGTATGAACCAATCCAATCCTGTCAGCTGCGATTTGCTTTATTGTATAAACGGCCATCGGTTTCCATCACTAATCTGTGAACAGTATTATGCAGCAGCCGAAAGAATCTTGTACCACATTCGTGAAATATGACAAGCAAGTCACTGGCATTGGCTCTACGGGGGATGGTCGGTTAGTAGATTTAGCATTTTGTTGCATATCATGTGTACTCGCTATGGAATATCTCAGTTGTCAATCAACCAATCAATTTATCAGCTATAAACCGTGCTCCATAGGCACATCGGTTCTAGGTGCTACAGGTTCCATTACCAGAAAATGGAAGAGTGTGGGACATAAAGCCAAGCCTTGGAGGAGATGGTGCGTTTGGTTAGTTCGGGAACTGGGTAGCTATGCATTGAAGGTGATAGCTTTGATGAGCCACTGACTGCACGATTTGGCCATTTTTGCCAGTTTGAGTTGAGTTCTAGGATCCTCAATCAGGGAGGCGGCAGTTTTCGACCCGACTCAGTTTACTGGTTAGTATTTTCATATTTCGTTTCCGCGTCATACACTGTCCACCTCTTGGTTGCTTTTACTCATCACAGGACTGGGCGAAATGAGCTCTGTGAGACAGACGGTCTTCTGGCATGCGGAGTACATGTCCTGACCAGCGTGATGTGTGTGTAAGCGGGAGAGTTCCTTCTTCCCAGAACCATCTAGTGTGCCTGAGCATTACCGGTGTTTCCACCAGACCTTCGGTGACACCGATGATCAAACGCTGACATCTTCCGTATGTCCTCTGCGCGTAGGGGCTACGTATCTGATCCATAAAGCAGTATGGATCACAGCACTGTAAGCTCTGCCCTTAGCAAAAAAACGTTAGGTCGGCACCATAGGTGTCGGAGGTTGGCAAAAGCTGACCGGAAAATATACAGCTGCTCAGGTAAACAGGTTTATCTGCCACATCGTTGGTTCGTCTGCAATTATGAGGTTTGAGTTTCATCTAACCCAGTCTTGTAGCAGCACTTTACACTTTGAAGGTGTGAAGCGCATGCCAAATCGTGCGGCAGAGTTATTTAGGTTATTTAAAATCGTTTGCATTTGAGAAAGATCTGAACCAAGAAGAGCAATATCGTCTGCATACTCAGTGTCTGTTAGGGTACGTCCTGGGAGCGTTTTGACTCCCGAGGTTTCAGAGGCAGGCAGAAGAATTCCAAGTAGCATATCAATAATAAAGTCGAAGAGGAAAGGGGAAAAAGGATAGCCCTGACCTACACCACTGGACATGGTGACCTAGG